TCAGAGAAAAATGAGTTTACTTTTAAAATATTTTTTGCATTTTCAGTAATTTTCCTGAGAGATGAAGTTTCTGTGACAGTTTTGTTGGTTTTCTGGGGTAGGATAGCTGGTCACATTCCCAAAAAAATCCTTCTCTTTTCGCGTTTGGAACTGGCTAAATAACTACCGAACTTGTTAGCTAGGTGAGATTAGATTCAGGAAAGGCAAATCATGTGCTGATCAAATTGCTAATCTACGCATCTTCGTCGAATAGAGCATAGAATAGCAAGCAGTCAAGTCTATTCCTCAATTCCATCGACTTTGAAAATGCCTTCAACAGTGCAGCGTTGATTGTTAAGTAATATGGAAGCTGATTCAACGCTATGGAGTTCCCCAAACCCTTACTTATCTCATTCAAGAGCTACATTACTATCCCACATATAAAGCGACTCACAGAAAAACTCAACGAAGACTCTGAAGTGAATACCGGAGTGAGATACGACTGTCCACCACCATCGATAATAATCCTAGCTGTGGTGGACAGGATCATTTGAAACACTGTAGGAAAGGAATACGAATACACGAATACGCTGAACCGACAAGAAGATTCTTGAAGATCTGGATTCCACGGGTGATTTATGTTTACTGTCACACAGACTCGAATAATTGCACACAGGCGACAAACCAACAAACTGGCTGAAGAGGCAGACAACGAAGTCAGGACTTCAGGTGAACATAAGGAGGTGATGAAGATACCCACGCGAATCGAGCAACAATATATATATATATATATTTATATATCCGGATACAAAATTTCTGTTTAACATACAAATTAACCTTAGAATTGGTTACAGAACAGTTCTATAGCATTTTGTTGTAATTTTATTATTGAATTACAAATTCACTTTGAACTTAAATGAATCACAGTTTCGTCTCTTAGATCCCATGATAATTATCATTCAAGTTCACTGTAAATAAAACGATTAACTTTAGTGATACCAAACATAATCAATACTGTTGACATACGTTTCAACAGAATACAATACCATACATGAAAACATGACACATATATCACCTAGTCAGATAGCTTGGTGAACTGGTTGTTCTTCAAGAGAATGGTTATTGAACAAAGAATATCCTTTTCAATAACTTCATCATCTTCAGGTTCTGCAGTTATATATGCACCCATAATAGTGAATAGTGTACTTCGTGGTCGGAAGCAATCACTTGTTTGGCTGAATAAAAAAAGGTGTAGTTAGAAGCATCAATAGATCGACATTAGAACACTGGGTCCAAACTGGCCACAAAGTTAATATTGAGCAGTTCCTCTCCATCATGTTTTGGGGTACAAAACAAATCAATGAAAATATCAGGGGCTATCTTGATTCGCGTAAAACAACCGGTGCTTTGTATATTGAATAAACAAGTCCAGCCACTTCTACTGCCCTGACCTTGCAGTGGAGACTATGAATTCATGAATTTGTATTGTTATTTTTCCTCATTTTTCTAACATTGATTTTATTGTTATGTTGATGCTACTGAGCTGTAATCTATTGATATTATTGATTTCGTGTTATTTAAACAGCAACATTAATGTCGTTCATAACAGCAATTCATTCATTCACCATATTGCATATATATATATAACTGTAGAGCCTGATGAAGAGCAGGTTATAGAAAACAGTATTCTTTGTTCAGTAACCATTCTTTTGAAATCAGTTTCAATGGACATTTTTAATCAGTCAAGAAGAGAATGTTTGCCGACAGTGCACGTAGTCCATTTTTTCTATGCGTAGTCAATGCACTCGTATATCTTGCCTCGCTGATATTAAACTGCAGAAAAGTGGAAAGTTTTCGAGTAAGGCTATTTAACCCTACTTTAGCAAAAAAAAATATTTTATAATATCATTGCTCCTTTGGATTCCAAGTGGAATAACTCTCTGTCTCCTATTGGGATTCCACTTGAGCGATGACGTCATCCAACCGTCTCTTCAGTGCAGTATGCCTAACCCATCTCCATTTCATTGAGCATATTTACTGAGTAATTGATCCTTGTTTGGTTTGTTGCCAGGGTTTCTTTTCTCTAATTCCTTCTGGTATGTATGTCTGATTTCCCATAAACTGGAAGATATGCAAGTGAAAAGTAACAAGTTGGCAGAAGAAGCATCAAAGATAGGACTTCAAGTGAACATAGATAAAACAGAGGTGATGAAGATTCCTAGCCAACATCAACAACAACAGACAACAATCAGCCAGCATAAATGGGAGGAACCTGAAAGAAACAACCTCCTTCACCTACCTGGGAACCATCGCCTCAACTACAAGCGGAACTGACAAAGATATCAAAGCCAGAATCGGAAAAGCAAGACAAGCTTTCATTACTCTTAAGTCTGTGTGGAGGTCAACAGCACTCAGCTTGAAAATGAAAATAAGATCCGGATTTTCAACTCCAATGTAAAGTCAGTGCTACTTACTATACGGATCAGAGACTTGCACTGCGCGTCATGAAGAGCACCTCAAACAAACTACAGACCTTCATTAACAGTTAGTTGTCTTCGCTCAATACTCAAGATCAGATGGCCAGCCAGAAAAGATCAGCAACAGGGATCTCTGTCAGTGAACGAATCAACCCACCAGGAACCGATTGTGAAACAAATAGGCAGGAAGAAATGGAGATGGATTGGCCATACGCTGAAGAAACCATCAAGTGACATCACTATACAAGCCACTGCTCGAATGGAACCCGAAAGGGCAGCGGCGAGTTGGTCGTCAGTGCAAGGGTGACGTGGCGGAGGTCATGTGAAGAGGAGATGAAAGCATGTGGACAGACCTGGAGCGAGGTGGAAAAGTTGTCAGAAAACAGAAGGCAATGGAGGTGCGCAGCTGAAGCCCTATGTTCCTCTAGGAACTAAAGGATACAATAATAATAATAATAATTCCTTCTGGTCATTTGATCTTCAGTATGAACCCAGTGAATGCAGCTGTTAATAAAGGTCTTCAACCTGTTGAAAATCTTTTTTGTTAAACATAGTGCAAGTTTCTAACCCATATAGAAGAGCTGACTTCACATTTGTGTTGAAAATCTGAATCTTGTACTCTATACTGAGGCGGAATACGCAACAAGATTTCTAAATTGGTTTCAGATTGATGAAGGCATGTGTCTTGCCTTTTAGATTCTAGGCGGCTTTGACATCTTCATCCGTTCCACCAGCTGTATTTGAAACGATGCTTCCTAGATAAGTGAAGGAAATGACCCCCCCCCCCAAGTTTCACTAGTTGACAGTGATTAGTGCTGACCGTTGTTGGAGATGTTTGGGTATCTTCATCACCTCCGTCCTCCTTATGTTCTTCACCTGAAGTCCTGACTTCGCTGTCTGCCACTTCAGCCAGTTTGTTGGTTTGTCGCCTGTGTGCAATTCTTCGAGTCTGTGTGACAGCAAACATAAATCACCCGTGGAATCCAGATCTTCAAGAATCTTCTTGTCGGTTCAGCGTATTCGTGTATTCGTATTCCTTTCCTACAGTGTTTCAAATGATCCAGTCGACCACAGCTAGGATTATTATCGATGGTGGTGGACAGTCGTATCTCACTCCGGTATTCACTTCAGAGTCTTCGTTGAGTTTTTCTGTGAGTCGCTTTATATGTGGGATAGTAATGTAGCTCTTGAGTGAGATAAGTAAGGGTTTGGGGAACTCCATAGCGTTGAATCAGCTTCCATATTACTTAACAATCAACGCTGCACTGTTGAAGGCCTTTTCAAAGTCGATGGAATTGAGGAATAGGCTTGACTGCTATTCTATGCTCTATTCGACGAAGATGCGTAAATTAGCAATTTGATCAGCACATGATTTGCCTTTCCTGAATCTAACCTCATCTAGTTTACCAGCTCGCTAGTTTTCTGGCCAGTCCCGAACCCGAAAAGACAAGGAGTGGCCAGAGATCCTACCACAGAAAAGCAACAAAACTGCCACAAACTTCTTCTCACAGGAAAATTACTGAAAATGCCAAAAATATTTTAAAAGTAAACTCATTTTTCTCTGAAATGGGATAGGCGAAATGACACATAGAGCTGGTGGAAGCGTTTTGGGGAAAAAAACACCATGGCATCTGAAAACTGAACAGCCATAAAGTCCAATTATCCACTTGGGATTCATTCTACCGATGAGTCTCCACTGAACTGCAGATTTTAGACAACAACGCTTTTGGAGACTCTGTATGTATGTGAGTGGGGATTTGGTGGTGTAGACTAATCGCATTTTGTAATAAAAGCCTTCAAAGTTGTAATTTTCAATGAGAACGTCTTCTCAGAACTCTCATTCCCTTTTGCATGGTGTCGGGACTGCAATTCATTCAAGAATCTAATCAGAAGTTGGGAAAATTTCATACTGATTAATGTATTCTAAGTTTGCTCATAGATTGATGTAAGTTAGAGGACCACTGACAACCAGCTTGGGGTATTGGACAGCTGTTCTCGTCCTAGTCTGAGTTTCTTCATCAGCATGCACACACTAAGTTTCCGACCCAGGTTCTTCCGTTTAAACGACGATTTCGTAGAATACTGAGCTACAGAGACATGATTCAATGGCTCATGAATTCCAACTTTTACAACTTCGTGAGTTTTTAGTGGTTCTGTAACTGAGATCTATCCGTGATCAAAATTGATACAGATCAGATCCTTCCGAACTAACTCTTAGATTACCTGAATTAGAGAATAACAGTTTACTCATATATGTAGAAGATTTGATGGAATCTAGGTCCGTGTTTCAGCGTGAATATGTCCGACCATTCACTGGTGGGATCCAGATATATTATACCTTGATGATAATTACCGAGTAGGACAAAATATGCACTCTAGATGATCTCATTGTGAGTCATCGTAAACGAAAACAGCCGTTGTAAAGCTGCTAAAATCCTACTTTTATCTTTCTACAATTCAATACCCACTGACATTTACTGTTGCCAATTTTAGTATTAATAATAACACTACTATTTTGTCTTTTTCTTTTTTGTCTACTTTTAGTTGATGGGTATTCGTAATCCACTACATTTGAAAAAGTTATCAATACATATTCATCGGTGTATGAAAGAGTCTAGCCTTAACAATCATGCTTCTTTGTACAGAAGTATAGAAGCACCTGAGAATTTTGATATGACAGGTAATAATAAGTACTTTATTGATTGTGTATAGCTATTTATTACTGTTATTAAACCGTTAGGTTCCGAAGGGAACATAAGGCTTTAACAGAGATGTATCACTTCCTGCTGTTCTTTACAGTCCTCTTTAACTGGATGCAAGATTGTCCAGAAGCTTTCATCTTCTTCATATCACTCTCGGACCAATAGTCGACTTCCATTCGGTTTCTACTTGAAGTTATGCCTAACGAGTGATATTACCTAACGGTCTCCTCAGTATGTGTCCAATCCATCTTTATTTCTTGGCTGCACACTTCTTATCTGAAAGGCTCTTGGTTAGTTTTAATGTGGGTTTCTTGTTGTTTACCCTTTCTGGCTGAACATTTGACCTTAAGTATCGAGTATAGGCATCAGTTGATGAAGGTCTGAGACCTGTTAGAAATGCCTTACATAAAGCTCTAAGTCTATAAATTATACAGAAGTACTGATTGACTTTATTTGGTGTCAAAAATTCGAATTATGTCCCTTAAGCTTAAAGCAATAGATATCCATACTAATTTGAGATTAATGATAACAGAAGGTCCTGGGTTCGAATCTCGGTGGGTGCGTACTGCTGAGGAGTCCCAAACTAGGACGAAACAGCTGTCCAGTACTCCCAGGTTTTCCAGTGGTTCTCTAACTGATGTCAGCTCATGATTAAATCCTTCATGCAATCAAACAAAATCCTTACAAAAACCAATACTTGAAAATTCATCTGATGCTCACCAGTGAATGGCCCTATTCAGGCAGTTAACCTGGGGTTCTAGTGGGAAGCCGTGACCAGTAGGGTACAGCAGGTCGAAGATGAGGCAGTAACTCATCGAAGAAGACATTGTGAAGTGGTCGCGCTATGTCGTGAACTGGCAGAAGTTAGAATTCAAGGACCATTGGATCGGGTCCCAGTGGCTTAGTGGTATACGAGGTCGCCTTGTAACCAGAAGGTCCTGGGTTCGAATCCCGGTGGGTGCGTACTGCTGAAGCGTCCTAAACTAGGACGAAACAGCTGTCCAGTACTCCCAGGTTTTCCAGTGGTCCTCTAACTGATGTCAGCTCATGAATAAATCCTCCATGCAATTAATGATAACGTCTGGTTTACTTTTCTGAATTGATCCTGGCTTTGACATCCTCCCCCATACCATCTATCTGTGGCTGAAATGATGTTGCCTGGATTAGTGAAAGGGGTCGTTTCCTTCAAATATCTCCCATTTATAGCGATTGATACCTGTTGTTGTTGGTTGGTTATCTTAGCCACCTTTGTCTTCTCTATGTTCACTTGATGCCATGTTTTCAATAGAATTCTCTTCTGCTAGCTTGCTGATTTTCGTTTATACATTTTCGGGGTTTATATGACATTATATCATTCATGATGTCTAGATGCTTTGAAGTATTTTAGTCAGTTCAAAGTGCTCCTGTCTTCTGATTCCCTACAAGCTGTTTGACGCATGATCCAGTCTACCAGAATTAGGAATTTCACTGATGATGGTAATGGAAAGCCCTCTCCTACTCTTGTCTTCGCTTCACAGACTCAGTTAGCTGAGTTTTCCGTTTAAAATCACCTGGTATGTGACATCATCATGTAGCTGTTTGAAAAAGACTTGATAAAGGTTTAGGGTACTGACTGGGTATAACAAACTGCAGTATTTATGTACCAGTCTGATGTGGTTTTACTAGCAGTGTTGCTAACACTAGCTTTAGTTGATAGCCTCACTCTTAACTTCCCGTCTTTACTCGTTTTACTACGGGCTAAGAGGGGTTTAGGAGTGAGTCGGCCAGGAGTCGAACCCCTGATCTCATGAGGCGTGGTTGGTGAGCATTCTCCCACTGAACTACCGACCTATATTACATTAACAATAAAATTTGTGAAATCAAGAATATTACTGGGTGGAGGATTTCATCATAAGCTCACATCAGTTAGAGAACCATTGAAAAAATCTGAGAGTACTGGACATCTGTTTCGCCCAAGTCTGGGACTCTTGAGCAGTGCGCACCTACCGGGATTCAAACCCAGGACCCTCTGGTTACAAGACAAGATGGCTCGTAGACCAGCATGCCAGCCACTGGGACCCGATCCATTTGCCCATGAATTCTAACTTCTGACAATTCATAACATAGTGTGACCAATCAGCAATGTCTTCTTCGATGAGTTATTGCCTCACCCTCAACCTGCTGCACCCTACTAATCACGGCTTCCTACTAGAATCCCAGGTCACTGCCTGAATAAGGCCATTCGCTAGTGAGCATCAGACTAATTTTCAGGTATTGGCTTAATAGGGATTTAGTTTGATTGGATGGAGGATTTCATTTCTAGTAGGAAGCCGTGACCAGAAGGGCACATCAGGTCAAAGGTGATGACAGTTATTCATCGAAAAAGACATTGCGAAATAGTCGCGCTATGTCGCGAATTGGCAGAAGTTAGAATTCATGGACTGGTGGCCATTGAATTGGGTCCCAGTGGCTGGCTTATCGGTCTATGAGCCAGCTCGCCTTGTAACCAGAAGGTCCTGGGTCAAACTGTGGTAGTGGGTGTGTACCGATGAAGAGTCACAGATTAGGACAAAACAGATATCCAGCACTCCTAGGTTTTCCAGTGGTTCTGTAACTGATGTGAGCTCATGATGAAATCCTCCGTGCAATCAGACAAAAATCCCTACAAAACCAATACTAGAAGATCAAGAATATCTCACATACGATCACTGTCAGTATTTTCTATTTATTAATCACCAAGAGGTTAAGAGAGTTTCTTTTCAGCTCAAAAGTAAGTGTATCCACAGCTTGATAGTGGACTATAGTCAACAGCTGTATGATTAATCCACCCATATTTGTCAGCAATGAATAAACAGTATAGGTATTTTCAATAACTAGAAGTATGATTCGTCGTGCGTCGATAATTCGATGATTGAATGCTCAACAACCATCCATTTCGTCCTGTTTCCATTCGTGGCCAACGGAGTCCTAAACCTTGATTAGCCGCTAGTAATTTCAGGAAAGAGGGGAAGTTGAGCGTAAGGCTAGCAATCCCATTAAGTAAAAATGAGACAACATCGCTAGTTCTGAAATTCCTAATTGCTTGTCGAAATCCTTATTTCACCTTGCATTTTCGTTACCAGTAGATTCATTTTATGAAATAACTTTTCTTTATTCCTTCACGTTCCCCAGTGGAACATAGGGCTTCAAGCTAGTGACTTGAGGCTTCTGTAGCATGTGGTGTTTATTTTTACAGGGTTGGGGTTGCTCTCCAGCCTCTCGCCCAACCTTTCCTCTTTACCAGCTTTTATTTCTGGCTTAGCAAGGTAAAGGAGTGCATTGGCAGCCGAGGATCGAACCCCAAACCATTTGCATGGTCGGCAAGCGTCCTAACCGCTATGCCACCGACGCAATATGAAATAACTTTGATCCATACATAATCTGTTTAGAGCAGGATGACAGAGATATGCTTAAAATCAGCAAATAAAATAAACATTTTGTTATTTTGGATCTTAATTGACAAAAAGATCTTGATCACAGATTTGTTCATCAGCTGGTATCATTTAGAGAACCATTAATAACTAGAGAAACCTGTTTCATCCTTCAGAGGTACCTCTGAAGAGTCAAAAACTGTCATGGTTCGAACCCAGATAACTTCCTGCATAGAACCAGTCGTAAGTGAGCATTGAACATTGACTCTGAAGTGTTGATCGGTGGGGATTTACCTGGAGTTCCGTCGAAAATCTATAACCAGCATTATCTACCAAGTCATCTATGGTATTGTCTGGCAGTTGCGCTATATATATATATATCCCGAATTAGCGGAAAATGGAATTCATGAACTGACCATTGCATAAGGTTTCAGTGGCTGAACAGTCTACGAGTTCTCCTTGTAAATGAAAGGTCCTGATTTTAAACTCCTATGGGTGTGTACTCCAGAAGAGTCTCAAAACTAAGATGAAGCAGCTGTCCATTACTCCTTGATTTTTGGTAATTCTCTAACTAACGGCAGTTAGTGATGAGAAGTGGAACCAATGAATTAAGACTTAAAAAATCTTGAACTGTTTCTATTTGAAATCCAAAAATCACCAACTATTCTACTGTATATGTGTTCAAGGATAGATATTAACAAAAAACTGGAAAATAAAAGCTGAATTATGAAGCACAATTAGGAAATCCTACAGTACACTCCCCTCCCCCCTAATCGTTCAGTAGTACGTCACCCACTTAAACAAAACATGGGTTTGAGCCATTTGAAATCTTATATTCCCATTAATATTTATAATGCTTTTCATTGTGACTCAATCTTGTCTAAAAATGATCTAGAAAACACAAAACAGAGGAGAATAGTGTCTTATTGACTTCTCTGCACATTCCGGAGTCAACAGCTATGTATCCTTATGTCAGAAGAAATGAATGGTCCATAAATCACTTAAAATTCAACCTCAGACTAAGCATTTAATGGTTTCTTAACTTTCTAATAAAGAAACATCGTAAAAAGCACCTAAATTAGCAGTGAAGTTCTTGTCTTTGTCAAAGAGAACTTGAAGAGGCTGTACAGTATAACCACTAGACTGTTTAAAACATCCTTCTTCTTGCATTCCCTCGAATCCAAGTGGAAGGTAAAACTTCAAGCTTCGAAATTACAGTAATGATGGTGTGTTTTCTATGGAATAAGATTTGTTAGCCAGACGCCCAACCCCTTCCCCCGCCCCCGCGCATTCCTTAGAGTTTACCACTGACGAGATTCAGGAGTACGTTGACCGGGAATCGAACCTTGATCTGATGCGCACGGTTGATGAGTAAGTATTCTTTTACTATCACTGATTATTTTGTTAAACACACATGAAACGGACAGCATAAATCTTTTATTTTTGGTTGTTTTTTTTCGTGCAATACAGGTTGGTTACATGATATTGGTTTATCAGCGTACATTCCACAATTCGACAGTTGTATTATTGATCCGTATGTATTAGATCAACTCAGTATGGTAAGTAAGATATTTTGCTTTGAATGGAGAGTTTATTTTATTAAACTATGAATACCTCTTTTCGATAACGCCTTTTTCAACAAGTTCTGCAGTTATGTATATACAACATTCATGTTTTAAATAACATAGAATCAGTAATAACGATAGATTACAGCTCAAAAGCATCTGTAAGCGATAACATATTATCGGTATGACTCTAAGCTGAATATATCAGATAAATTAAGATAAACGATAAAAAATTTATGATTTGAAAGTGGGAAATATTCCCATATTATAAATTAAAAGTCAAACTGAACGAAGAATATTCCTTTCAATACATCATTCTCTCAAGGTTCTTACAATTATTAAATACAATATTTATTTTCGTTACAGTAATGGCCAGTTATGCGGCGGACACATTTTTTAACGTAGAATAACAGATTAGTAATTGTGGAGTGTCAAAATAAATTGTCATATTTGTGTGAAATCGATTACAAAATATTGTAAAACGCGAGACAGTGGTGGTGATTCGTCGTCATAATAGATTTGTAGAGTGTGGGGTTAGAAAATAGACAAGTCAGTTCAAGGTTATAAAAGGTGTCAGGTGAGTGAGTGGCTAGTACAAAGTGGTCTGTCTTAAACAGGAGATAGTAAGACTGAAATGAGAGGTTAATAATGAGATAACGAATAGGTTAAATGAAACAGATGGAGGCATATATTAAGAAAAGAGATAATGTCACTAATAATAAGTCCGGATAGTGTAAATGGAAAATTCGATAGTATTGAGAGAATGTTTGCATGAAGAGTATAAATTATGACGAACAATAATAAGCAAAGAAAGAAAAAAACCAAGAGGGTTAAGGGGAAGGAGCACTCTTGGTGAGAAGAAGAATCATCAATCCAAGTTTGGCCACGATAGGAACAGTGCCTGGACGTGTTCTTTTTGGATACAAAGTTCCGGTTTAGTCGATCTTATTGCAACAGCTTCAGCTATGTGTAGGAGATGTAAGCGAACTGTACGTGATAACGACTTCGGGATGCGGTATATAACCCTGAAAACTGTGTTGACATCAATGCGACTATGAACCTCTCATTTCAGTCTTGCTATCTCCTGTTTAAGACAGACCACTTTGTACTAGCCACTCACTCACCTGACACCTTTTATAACCTTGAACTGACTTGTCTATTTTCTAACCCCACACTCTACAAATCTATTATGACGACGAATCACCACCACTGTCTCGCGTTTTACAATATTTTGTAATCGATTTCACACAAATACGACAATTTATTTTGACACCCCACAATTACTAATCTGTTATTCTACGTTAAAAAATGTGTCCGCCGCATAACTGGCCATTACTGTAACGAAAATAAATATTGTATTTTATAATTGTAAGAACCTGGAGGGAAGGATGTATTGAAAGGAATATTCTTCGTTCAATTTGACATTTAAAAATTTATGATTTTATAGGTTCCACGGAAGGCCACCATGACAATAATGAATGAACCTCTGTCATTTTGGACATAGAGCTCCAGTTGATTTAGGCGAACTTCAGTAGCCTATACCGTTTGAAGTTTTAGGTACTTGGGGGTCTTCGGCAATTTATTCGATAATTCATAGATGATACAGAAAGACTGTTCAATGTTAGTTCTATAGAACTATTGATGCTTTCATTGCACCTCTATTTAGTCCACAAGAACTAAAATTATGTTCCTTGTGCAATCGCCGCCAATATAACTGGCACCACAAGGGAGCAGTTGAACTGATAGATACAATAAGAGATGGATAGCCTAGGTACTTGATCTTTCAGTTGAAGAATCACAGATGATTGTGTAGAGAGTGCGAAGGACAGCTAACTGGCATTGAAAGCCCTTCGGACCGACCTTCTAAACTTGCTGATCATTATTTCGTTTGCTAAGTCACCTGAGAATTGCAGTTGTGTGTAAAGAGACTCTTCTTTAATTGGTGGATGGTGACTAGCACAGGGAATCCACCAGGATGCGCATTTCGTCCCATTTGGGATTCATCAGGCACTGGATGTATCTGCGTTCCTCAGTCGTTGAGTGATGATGTTCCCACCGGCGAGGCTCGAACCCAGTGTCCATAGTTTCAAACGTCAAAGCGTTATCTACTAGACCACTAGGGCCTAGACATCGCCAAAGCATCTGCACAAGAAGCCGACATGTCAACCTGAGACCGAGCACTTCGGTTCAATCAATCGAAGGGAAAATCTAAAATTCAATTAAAGAGACGCTTATTCTTAACACATACAGAAGGATTCTTCTATACTGTCGATAAACGGCTCAGGGTAGTTGTTTTCGTTTGACATGTTGTATTCAAGCTTATGTTCACATCTTCGATTACATCTTCTAAACAAATACAAAAACCTGATCTTATAGCTGAGGGCCTTTATCAAATTCTTTTTATACAGGAGAGCAATAAACCTGTGAAACCCGTCGGTATATTGACTGGTCCAGTTATTTTGATGGCTGTTTTCTGGCTTTCAATAGGCATTTGTTGTTTCAAGTTTAGCTAAAGAACAAAGTGGCACTCATCATGTTAATTATCATCAAATGAACGTGTAAGAGACTTAAGTAATTGCTCAAAGATTACACATTTACGTGTACAAGATTGAATAAATTATTGGTAATTTGTCTTTTAAAAAACGTGTGAGCTATGAAAGATTAGGTGTGATAAAAAGAAATCTTACTTTCCATAAGGTCAAATTCATTAACTGACTAGGGAATGACCTTATTCCTTTGACTGGAAACTAGTGTGATGTGTCTAGTCCTTTCTTTGAAGCAGACTGATTTCTATCAGTCAGTCAGGTTTGCAATGTGACCACCATTCTAGGTAGCTTGCCATCACGGTGCACAATCATTTGATGATATTAGTTGGTTGGAGTCAGTCAGCCACAGGAAGATTTGCTTGACTGGCTCAGGTTTCATGCTAGTCGGTACTCACCAAACAGTCAGCAAGGCGTATCTGCAACTAGCCTGAAAGAACTCATGTCTCTTCTGAGAATCGAACCCGCATCATCCAGTGCTGCAGTCAGAGACGTTACCAATGAGGTATTTGGGCTCATGATTGACCTCCTGTAAGATTGTAGTGGATATTTTGACTGGACAACAGTAACTAGTGTGATGTGTCTAGTCCTTTCTTTGGTGCAGGCTGAATTCTATCGGTCAGTCAGGTTTGCAATGTGGCCCTCATTCTAGGTGCACATTGATTTGATGATATTAGATGGTTTAAGGCAATCTACAACAGGAAGCAGGTAACGTCTGTGACTGCAGCGCTGGGTGACGATGGTTCGAATTATAGAAGGGACATGAGTTCTTTCAACGTTTATGATACGCCTTGCTGACTAGTGGGTGCCGGCTAGCACGAAATCTAGACCAGGCAAGGCTTCCTGTGACCGATTGCCTCAAACCTTATTTTTGGATTTTAGCGCTGGAGGACACAATGTCTAATTATGATATCGTATATACATGTCAAAATCAAGAACAGTAATTTTTCTTTTAATTCCTTTCTATTACGAATAAAACATGGAGTTTCAAGCTTTGAAGCTTCATCATCGGTGATTCTGCTTTATTCTACAAGTTGGCATTAGTAGGTTCTCTATTTTTTTTAGCCTGACTGCCAGTGCTAGGAAAGTAGGCAAGGTTTCGAAGTACACCGGATGGGAATCGAATCCCAACCGTGTTTGTATTCTACTGATGTCTGTACTAGGTATATAAACAGTACTAATTTCATCGATTTCAAATAAGATTTGAGGTATTTTTGAAATATAAAGAAGTAAAATTGATATGGTCGTAGTTTGTGCTAAGGAACTTCCTGTCTAGTAGGTTTCAGAGCTTCCTCTTTGAATGAGGATTAGCAACAACAAAGGCACTACATGATTCCACTGAAACTGTGGCACAAGAAGACAGACTGTTGACAGTGAGAGCTTTTTCTTTCTCAAATGAACAGAGAAAAGGGTTTAGATCAGTTGCACATATATAAGCATTAAATGACCTTGAGAGACACCAACTACATTGGTAAGTTAAAACTGTCAGCAATCAATAGGTTGCCATGGTCATAAATGAGGGGAAATATAAACAGCACTGCACTGTAAAGATTAATATAGTATTCTAGAAAAACTAGGTCTGTGTAACGGAAATACCTTATAAGTTAGCATGTTTTTATAATGAGTCATTATAGCCCACCAGCCCTGATCTCCTCTTCACTGAATTTCCCATCCACGTTCCATTCTAGGGCCAGGCGGGTGACTTCGTTCAACGATCTCCTTAGCATACATTCAATTCATCTCCGTTTCCGTCGAAATACTTGTCAAGCAATAGGTTCTTGGTTGGTTCACTTCCACAGTTTTTGTCGCTAATTCTTTCTGGCTACCCGTTCGAAAGCATCTGCTGGGGGAAGTCTAATGCCTATCAGAGATGTTTTATTGTAACCAGCACACCCAGCCTCCGAACCATATAGAAGAATTGACACGACACTAGTGTTGAAAATTCGAATCTTGTTCATTGTACTGGGTAAAGTTGTGAAATTGGTGACTTCCTTCAAAATAGCTGCTGAGGTTGGTGTTCTTGGTTATAAATCTTCATTCCCCCCCACTGCCTTTTATATGTTCACCTAAAGTCCTGTCTTCGTTACTACTGCTGTCAACTTGTTAGTGTACACCTGCAGACAATCAGATTCGTGTTACATCAGACATAAATCGTCTGCGAAGTTCAGATCTTTCAGAGTCTTCTTGTCGATCCAGAGTATTTCTGTTGTATTGCTCCCTCCTATATTCTTCATGATCCAGTGTAATAAAGTCAGAAGTATCATCTGTAATAGGCGGCAACCTTGTCTTCCTACTGTATTTACTTTGAAGGATTCGCTGAGTTTCTCTCTTTGTGGATCATTTGGCATTATCACATAGCTGTTGAAAGTGTTTTGACAGAATATCCAGTTCATGTTCCGTGATGATGTAACGATTCTACTCAGTGATCGTTTCTATACTAATACTGATCACTAATTACTTATAATCCCCAGATCTCATACAAAATTCAGATAGGAGACACAGAGGTCCTTATCAGTGATAAAAATTCGATTTATTTATTGCACTAAAATACATTATATCCAAACATTACAAAACTAGAAAAAATGGTTCTCTAACTGATATCAATCCGTGATCAACCCGTAAAACATAACTAATCCTTACAAACCAAACTATAGAAAGTTAATCTGATGCTCGCTAGTGACTTGCTACAGGTTGGAGTTTCCTGAGTTCTAGTGAGAAGTCGTGACCAGTGAGGTCCAATTAGATGTCACGTGTGTGGATGGATGTCCCACCAACGACAATGGTTAGGGTCGCGCTAAATCACGAATTAGTAGAAGTTAGAATTCACGAGCCATTGAATCGGGTCCCAGTGGCTGAATGGTATACGAGCTTGCCTTGTAACCGGAAGGTCCCGGGTTCGAATCCCAGTGGGTGCGTACTGCCGATGATTCCCAAACTAGGATGAAACAGCAGCTGTCCAGTACTCCCTGGTTTTCAATGGTTCTCTAACTGATATCAATCCGTGATCAACCCGTAAAACATAACTAATCCTTACAAACCAAACTATAGAAAACTAGAAAAGTTAAGTTGACAAATATCTAACTTAATTAGTTGCATGAATTCGGATCTTAAGGCTCTTCAATTACATTATAATAAACATTTTGCCTTAACTCAATCGCTGAATTTGTTCACTCCGGTTTAATCTGGTCTATGACTGTTTTATTTGGTCTTGGCAAAGACCAAAAACCGTCTGTTATGGTCTGAACTGAGGAAAACATTCTTCGTGTCCTACTCTGTAGCTAAATGAAACTTCCTTGAGTTAAGCGCAGTCAGGAAATGCCCCTAAAGACAGAAAAAACGACAGTTATCTCAAGTGAAATCTACGGTACTATTTAACGGTAATAACATCAAGTAATGTCATTTCAAGAATTGGTGCCGCATTATGCTCCTGTCATCCCCAAACAAAATAATAAATCACATCATTCTGAAAATAATCAAACACACTCTGGATGAAAAACTTCGACCAGAGCAGGTTGGATTCAGGAGAAATAAGTCATGCTTTGATGAAATCGCAACACTGTGTTTCATCGTTAAACAGTGCTTTGAATGGCAATCAGCTCTCTACTCCAACTTCACCGACTTTAAAAAAGCCTTCGGCAGTGTCGACCTGGATTTCGCTAGTGATGTATGTCTGATTTCCTACAAACTGGAAGATATGCAGACGAAAAAGAAACACGTTGTCAGAAGAAGCATCAAAGATAGGAAGAACTTCAGGTGAACGTAAAGAAAACAGAAATGACGAAGATTCCTGGCCAACAGCAACAGCAACAACAATAGACAACAATTAGCCGGTGACGAATCTGAAAGAATCAACCTCCTTTACCTACCCACCTACCTGGGAAGCATCGTTTCAACTACAGACTGCTGGAACTGATGAGGATATCGAAGCGAGAATCAGAGAGAAAGACAAGCTTTCATTACTCTCAAGTCTGTGTCGACGTCAACAGCTCTCAGCATGAAAATGAAAAGAACACGCGGATTTTCAACTCCAATGTGAAGTCAGTGCTACTTACTATGCGGAAAAGAGACTTGCACTGCGTGTCACGGAGGGCATTTTAAACAAACAACAGACTTTTATCAGTAGCTGTTTTCGCTCAATACTACTCAAGATCAGATGGCCGGCTAGAAAGGATTGGCGACAGGGATCTCTGGGAGCGAACCAACTAGGAACTGGTTGTGCAAGAAATATGCAAGAAGAAATAGAGGTGGATTGGCCATACTTTGAGAAAACGAACCATCAAGTGAGTGACATCACACGCCAGGTGATCGGTCGATTGGAACCCTAATGCGAAGTGACAAGTTGGTGGTCAGGGCTGTGGTGACATAGAGGAGGAGGTGATCGGGTATCGTCACCACTTCTGCCTTCTCTATGTTCACCTGAAGTCATGTTTCCCCTACCTTGTTCGTTTTCCCTTCTAAATTGTCGACTTTTGTAAGCATTTAATCAATCTCTAACTAAATATGAAACGCATTATTATATATTATTATTTCCTTTAGTTCCTAGAGGAACATATGGATTCAGCCACACCTCTCCATTGCATTTGGTTCTCTGCCAGAGTTTTCACCTCGCTCGACGTCTCTCCACTTCCTCTTGTCTCCTCTTCGCATTATCTCCTCCTCCATGTCATCCTCTCTGCTTTAATATCCTCATCACTTCCGTCTGCCTGTAATTGGGAAGATGATTCCCAGGTCGATAGGTGGTAAGGGATGTTGCTTCCTTCAGATTCGGTTTCTCCAATTTATGCTGATTGTTGTCTATTGTTGTTGCTGTTGGCCAGGAATCTTCATCATCTCTGTATTCTTTATGTTCACCTGAAGTTCTTCCTATCTTTGATGCTTCTTCTGACGACGTGTTTCTTTTTCGTCTGCATATCTTCCAGTTTGTGGGAAATCAAACATCTATCATCGGCGAGGTTCAGATCCTCCAAGTCTTTTGTGTCAGTCCATTTTATGCCTGTCCCCACGTTTCTCGCTGTCTGTCGCATTATCCAATCTACTGCAATCAGGAAGATCATTGGCGATAGTAGACAGCCTTGCCTCACTCCCGTCCTCATTTCGAGGGATTCCGTGAGTTTCTCGTTGTGGATTACTTGGCATGCAGCATTGTCGTATAACTGTTGGATGAGATGTATATTTGTCGATGGGACCCCGTAGTAGCGAAGTAGTTGCCAAATCACCTCTCGATCGACACTGCGCTGTCGAAGGCCTTTTCAAAGTCGACGAAGTTGAGTGAGATGGAGAGGTGACTGCCATTCTAAGCTCTGTTCAGTGATGATCCGTAGTGTTTCGATTGGATCGATGCATGACTTGTTCCTCCTGAATCCAACCTGTTCTGGCTGACAATTTTCATCCAGGATAGCGTATCTGATTCTATGTAGGATAATGCGACTTAGTATTTTGTGTTAGGATGCACAGAAGCATAGACGAGATTAAGCGAATTTATAAGGGAAAAACACGAACGCCTTACACTTTTTTTTATTGTAATTCCTTAGATATTGTTCACTAATAATGATAATCGTAATGTGTTATCGTAATTTAGGTTAACGCTGTGTGTTTCACTTTGTTCGTTTTGAATTATAAATCATTATTTTTTTTATTTATTTATCTTTTTTATTAATTTTTTTTTACAAAAATATTTATATAAGGATGATCTATCCGTGTTGAAAATGTCAAATGAACTGCATGTGTTAAGTTTACGTTGGGGTATACAAATGTTAAGACATATCAGTTTTGATCGAAATCGTTTATGTCGAGATCACATGCAACAGTGTAAGTGAAAGTCTTTTTTTTTCTCTTTTCTGTTGTTGCTGTTGTTGGTATTGTCGTTGTCTGATGGCTCTTTTTTCATCCATTCTCTTGTATCATCTTCAATGAACGCGTACAAACACAAACACACACATATGTTAATGTTTCTTCTAGACGCGTGTTATTTTTCAAAATGTCAAATATCTAGTTGAAATTCTTATTCTAGAATAGAGAAATGGCGCTAAAAGAAGGAACTTATGGTTGGATTTGATTGTTTAAAGGTGTAATAATGAGCTAACGTCATTTAGAAGACCAGTGGGGAACTGGAGAGGTAGTACTGGACAGCTATTTCGTCGTCCTAGCTTGGAAATCTTCATCATCACACGTCCACCGGGAGTCGAATCAAAGCCATTGAGACTCGATCCAGTGGCTGTTTAATAAATTCCAACTTCTACCATTTCACGATATTTTGAGCAACTGCTTTTTCGATATGACTGTGCTGTCTGAGCTGAGGGTGATTTTACTGAGAAGATTTCATTGTCTGACCTTCTAAACAAAATCACTTCAAGTATTGATTTGTGAAGATTTTGTTTGATTGTTTAGAGGATTTCATCATGAGCTGACATAGGGTAGAGAAGTAAGGAAAAACTCTGCAGGAGGTACTAGGCAGCTGTTTCGTCCAGGTACTTTGGGACTCCTCAGCACTATGCACTCACCATTAAGGTTCGAACCCAGGACCTTCTGATTACAAGTTCAGCTGGCTCGTAGACCGTTAAGACAGTGAGACTCGATCCGACACTTAGTCCATTGATTCTAACTTCTGCCAACTCAGAATGTAGCACGATCACAAACCAATGTCTTTGATGAATAACTGTCCTCACCTTTGACCTGTTGTACCAGTCAAAATCCCTTCAGTCTAGACACTGTGAATGATATCACCGTTGTAGTTGTTTATGGATGCATGTTAGTATCGATCATTTTGCTGATCTGGAATTTTAATTTCTTTGTCTTGTGATTTATTCTTCATTGGTTGGTACGTTTGATCGATGGAAGCTACGCCTGTTAAGTGCCAATTCGTCTGAGTAGCAGGTTTTTGAGAAATCCGTTATCATTCTTCTTGTTTCCTTTACCTAAGAAGAAGTCACTCTGTTGACCATAACTGCCTGCATGCACTGATATGATGCAGTGGTTATCATGCCTTTTTTGTTAGACAATTTATGTTTGGTGAATGTAGCTTTAAAGAGACGGTTCACCTAAAGTAAAATAATTTTTTCCACATTTGTTGCTGTTTATCTTAGACATGATCTCGTCGACTTGGTCTTCTTTTGCTGTTGCATTCATTTGAGTTACAGATCTTTACATCATAAATGCATAAAACTATATACTACTGGCTCACTGAAATAAGTAGATATATACTGCTCTCATCCTATAAGCATGGGTACTCAAGCGAATCAGTGATGCTTCTCTAACTGATATCAATCTGTCATCAACTCATCAAAAAAAAATCTTAACCTTACAAACCAACTCTTGCAAAATTAATCTGAGCCTCGCTAGTGACTACTTCCTTTGGGACGGAGTTTCCTGGAGTTCTAGTGAGAAGTCGTGACCAGTGAGGGTCCAACCAGTCAAGTGTGAGGATGGAGTTCCCACCAATGGCATTGGTTGGTGGTAGCGCTAAATGCACCACGAATTGATAGAAGTTATAATTCATTAGCCAGTGAATCGGGTCCCAGTGGCTGAATGGTCGTCAACGAGCTTGCCTTGTACACGGAAATTCTAGGGTGTGTACTACCAATGAGTTCCAAACTGGGATGAAACAGCTGTCCAGTACTCCCTGATGGTTTTCAGTTATTCTCTAACTGATATCAATCCACGATCAACTCGTACAAAACATATTAATATAGACCAAATTTATCAACTAACAAAAAGTAAATCACGTGACGATGAACGTTTTTTTTCTATACTACTAATAAATCTTGTCAGTAGCACACACACACGTCACAGGCTTACACTTGAGGGTCTTCAAGTTTGTGAGGCACTACATCTAGGTCGTCTGGGAAGTCTAAATCTTCCAAAGTCTTTGTATCCATCCGAAACCCTCCAATGACCGCAAATTCTCCAAAAACCCTCAAATCACCATAAATTCCCCCAGATTTTTTCTCAGATTGCCTAAATGTCCCAGAATTTTCCCCGAACTCTCTAATAGGGTACAGATGTTATCACCAAGGGAATTTTCAAATTTTTTTGTATTTTCTCCCAGAGGAGTTGAATTTCGTAAAATATTGCAGATCGGGCAAAGAAAGCTTTTCCTTGCATTTGATCAGCTGGGCAAGTTTATAAGGAACAGAACTACTCGTTTTGCATGCACATTTATTCCCATAACGTTTCCAGAGGAACACAGAGCGGTTTGAAGCTAGAGGCTTCAAGTTTCTGTAACAATGGTATTTATTTTTACAGGATGGAGTTGCTGCTGGCCTCATGCCCAAACCTTCCTTTTTACCAGTCATATTACTGGCTTAATGAGGCAAAGGAGTGTCTTGTCGACCGGGAATCGAACTCCAGGCCACATGAGGCGTGGTCAGCGAGCATTCTACCGCTAGTATTCATTTTTACAGGATGGGATTGCTACTGGCCTCGTGCATGACCTTCCTTCTTTACCAGTGCGTCGGTGGTCGGGGATTCAAACCCAGACCACATGAGTGGTTGGCGAGCATTCTACCGCTGTGCCACCAACTCACATCAATTAGTAGCGCCTGTTAATCAGATATACCAATGTGAAGTAAACAAGAGACGGCAGTTTCGCTGGTATGCGGCGAAGTTTATTGGCGGTGTACGGGGTTTGACTAGGCACAGGGATCAAATCGGTTGGGTCATTGATAAATGCATAGGACTTGTACACTGTAGTGGTAGAGTATCATTCTATTGTGGATAAAATTTATTTTGATCTAACCTCACACTGCTATGCACTAAGATACACTAATGACCACGTTTCGAACACAATTTATACACTGCTCATAATGGACTTAACTCTAACTCACTTCAGCGACTCAGGGATTGACTTGCTACCAAGGAATAATCTGGTTGACTTAGAATAGGTAGACAATATAGTCCTTCTAGGCGAGGACACTGACAAAATACAGAATCTTCTGAACACCTTGAAGGGCAGCAATCTACTAATGTTTGGCATTTGGTTCGCTCCCGCCAAATGCAAGATGATGTTACAAGACTGGACCACACTGACTCCTAGTTTAGAAATAGGGGGTGAAGTGGTAGAGCACTTTGACCGCTTCACTTATTTGGGAAGCACCATCAGCCAGCGCCAACGGCTGTTGACTAAGGGTCGGCTGTACTGCTCAGCAGTCCGCTCCGTCCTCCTCTGCGGCTATGAGACCTGGCCATTGAGAGTGGAAGACATGAAAAGACCAGCTGTCTTTTATCATAGGTGCCTCCGCTCTATCTGTCTTGTGAAGCGGTATAATAAGGTGAGCTATATTGAGGTTAGGCATCGGTCGAGTGCTAGGTAAGGCTGTGAAATTACATCGACCAAGATGGTCAGGACATGTGTTACGTATGCCTAGTCATCGCCTTCCTCGACGGGCAATGTTAGCTGATATAGGGCCAGGCCGGAAAAGAGCTAGCGGTGGTCAAACCAAAGTATAGCACCAGTCAATGAAATCTGCAACAGTAAGGCTAAGCCACGTAGGAAGGTGTAGACTCCCTGTCTCGTTGGGGTCCTCGGGACGGTAAAAACCAATGGTTGGAAACAATTGGTGATATGGCTCAAAACCGTTCTCAGTGGCTGGCGCAGATGCATCCACTCCTTGTGACTTATGATTTCCAATGAAACTGTTTTGTTCTTCGTTATTACTCCTCCTTTGTCTCACACCTCTGTTAACTGTCTCTATTATGCATTTCTTCTACTTTCTTCTCTTTCTTTATGTGCTACATGGAGGGAGTGTGGGGACTTGAACTGCCACACATTGATGCAAAGTTCTATGTCGAAAACAGACAGACAGACAGACAGACAGACAGACAGACAGACTCTTCATAATACCAGTATTAAGGCACTACTCACACAACTGTCCAACTTTATTTATATAATTCCACTATTCGCATCTCTTCAATTTCATTAGTAGTAATAATCTCCATATCTCTGGTAGGAATGATTAGTCATTGCATCCTAGGCTAGCAACCCCACTCCGTAAAAATAAGTACCATAGATACCGAAACTTAAAAGCTCTAGCTTGAAGCCGCCCTATGTTCCACCGGGGACGGTGGAACAATTAGGCAATCCATGTTTCACAAGTAGATGTTTATTAGATAATGTCATCATGTTAGCAGTTTTGTTGCTATCTAGTACAAACCTTCCTAGTGAAATGTTTGTTTTCAATGGTCCATAAAATTTGTACTAATGGCACATTAGTGTATCAGCTACGATGAGTACCTTCAGTTTTTTTGGCTGATGGATTCCCTGTAAACTTTATTGTGTGTCACAGTAAAGGAAGTCTCCTTCTTGTAAAGACAGCTGTCTTTTCAAGTATTGTTTTTGTAGGGCTTTTTGTTTGATGCATGGAGGATTTGATCTTGAGCCTACATCAGTTAGAGAACCACTGGAAAACAAGCTGGCAGTAATGGACAGCTGTCTCCCCCCTTTCTAGTTTGGGATTCTTCATCAGGACGCACCCACCGCCCCATTTCGAACCCAGGACCTTCCGGTAACAAGGCGAGCTCGTAGACCATTGAGCCACTGGGACCCGATTCAATGGTCCTTGAATTCTAACTTCTGCCAATTCACGACAGAGGGCGACCACTTAGCAATGTCTTCGATGAGTAACTGTCCTCACCTTCGACCTACTGTACCAATGTCAGCTCGTGGTGAAATCCTCCAACAAATCAAAATCGCATAAGTCTAGACTCTGTGAATGATATCATGGTTGTAATTGTTTATTTATGCACATTAGTATCGATCATTTTGCTGATCTGGAATTCTAATTTCTTTGTCATGTGATTTGTTCTTCATTGGTAGACAAGTTTGATCTATGGAAGTTATGTCTGTTATGTGCTGGCCATTGGATCAAGTCCCAGCGATTCGTCTTGTAACCGGAAGGTCCTGGGTATGAACCTTGATGGGTGCCTACCGACGAAGAGTCCCAAATTAAGGCGAAACAGTTGTCTTTATTAAACTACTATTCAATGATGGTTGAATCATGTAGTTTATATCTCAAAGATTTCGATGAGCTATCAAGCCGACATTCAACATCACATCCTGTTCAGCTTACATCTTAAATACTTTCACTTGCTGTGTCTCTAAGATTAAAGGACAAAAATCTGTGGATGCTAATTCATACAGCATCTACTACGAGTCCGCATGGTACTGAAGTGTAACATATATATGTAGGATCAATGGAATGTTCCAATGTTGTCGAAAGATGGATAAATATGTCACACAGAAAAAACTTAAATTTATTTAATTTAAATAGAAATCCATCATCAAAGTCTGGTTACAGGACAGGAGAAGGAGACGATGAGCTCAACTTACACAACACTGGACAAAGAAGTGAAGAAAAGTGCTAGGAAGGACAAAAGACGATTCTACGACAACCTGGCCACTGAAGCTGAGAAGGCAGCAGGCAAAAGGGACCTGAGGACACTATATCAGATAACCAAATCTCTATCCGGGAAGAGACCAACACAAGCGAAACCTATGAAAGACAGCCAAGGGAACCCAATTACCAAGGAAGAAAAACGGATTAAACAATGGGCGGATCACTTCAAAGGACTCTTGAACCGACCATCACTTGCAACCCGTCCAGAAATACCAACAACAGCGCACACACAACTGCAAGTTGACACCAATCCTCCAACAAGAGCTGAAGTCTTGAACGCAATCAAACTTCTGAAAGCTGGGAAAACAGCCGGACCAGATGGAATACCCCCTGAAGCACTGAAAGCAGACCCAGAGACTACAGCAGACATGCTGACTCCATTATTGCAAAAGGTCTGGAAGGAGGGAAAGGTGCCTACTGACTGGAGGAAGGGTTACCTCGTGAAACTACCAAAGAAGGGGGACTCAGGCCTCACTCTGCAAGAACTGGCGAGGAATAATGCTCCTACCGACGCCAAGTAAAATCCTGAGTCGCATCATCCTGGAGAGATTAAAGGACGCACTGGAGACAGAACCCCGACCAGAACAAGCTGGATTCAGGAAAGTCAGGCAAATCATGTACTGACCAAATTGCAACTCTACGCATCATCATCACAGAACAAACCATGGAATGGCAATCAAACCTCTACCTCAACTTTATAGACTTTGAGAAGGCCTTCACCAGACGACGTTGATCACGAAGTAATTTGGAAACTACTCGAATACTACGACATACCCCAAATATTCTCCAACCTTATTCAACAGCTGTACGACAACGGCACCTGCTAAGTGATCCACAACGGAAGACTCAGTGAGGCGTTCGGAGTAAACACAGGAGTCAGACAAGGGTGCTTATTATCACCCACAATGATATACCTAATTGTGGTGAACTGAATTATGCGTCAGACAGTGGGAAAAGAGAACACAGGGATATCCTGGACAGACAGACATAAAGAACCTAGAAGACCTGGATTTCGCGCGTGGATGATTTATGTTTGATGTCATACACAATCGAAGACTTACAACCGAAAACCGACAAACTGGTCGAAGAAGCAGCTGGCGAAGACAGGACTCCAAGTAAACATAGACAAGACGGCGATTATGAAAATAACCAACCAACAAAAACAACAACAACAACAGCATCAACATCCAGCGCCAATCACCATCAACGGGAGGGATTTGAAAGAGGTCACTTCATTCACTTCACTTATCTAGGGAGCATTGTCTCAACTACAGGAAGTCTGAACGGACGAGGATGTCAAATCGAGCGAGAATCGGGAAGGCGAGAAACACACATTTATCAACCTGAAATCAATCTGGAAATCTTCGTCACTCAGCCAGCATCAACAACAAAATCCAGTCGGATTTCCAATACAAACGTCAAGTCAGTCAGTTCTTCTATACGGATCAGAAACCTGGCAGGCGGGTCACAAAGAATATTTCCAACAGCCTGTTGCAGACCAGACCTTTATTAACAACCGTCTTCGCTGGCTCTATACTAAAGATCAGATGGGCGGGCCGGAAAGAATCACCAACAAGAAACTATGGGAACAAACAAACAAAACAAGAACCATTCGCCCAACAAATATGCAGGAGAAAGTGGAGATGGATAGGACACTCGCTGAGGAGACCACTGGGTGACATCAGGCGCGCCTCAGGCCATTGCTCGAGTGGAACCCTAAGGGGAAACGGCGAGTGGGACGTCAGTGCAAGGATGACATGGAGGAGATCGTGTTATTTTGAGGAATTGAAAGAGTATGGACTAACATGGATGCAGGTGAAGGGTACAGCAGAAGGAAAACAGAAGCAAATGGAGACGTGCAGTTGAAGCCCTATATTCCACTAGGAACCCAAGGGAGCAATAAATAAATAAATAGAATAGAAATACATCAGCAAAGTCTGGTTACAAAATTGATATTAATGACTACCTCTCTAGTTATTACACATCACTCTTATTCACAAAGTTGTTATCCCATAGATTCCGAACTGTGTGCATACAGTCAAAACAATCGACTTCACCCATTCTTTTTCCTTCACGCTCCCAGTTGAACATTGGGCTTCAAGCTAGTGCTTGAAGTTTCTGTACCAGTGTTTTTTATTTTTACAGGATGGGGTTGCTAGCCTCATGCTCAGCCTTTCCTCTTCATGAGCTTTACTTCTGGCTGAGTGAGGTAAAGGAGAGCACCGGCCAGGGATGGAACCCAGGGCCATGCGCATGGTCGGCGAGCGTCTTAACCGCTATGCCACCGACTCACACTTCAGCCATTTGCCTACCATGAACTACTTGAGCTACCCAAATACGACTCGTCATGAGAATGCATTTTTATTTTATTTGATTGATATTAGATAGTTGGATGCAATCGACCACAGGAAGCCTTGCTTGACTGACCTAGGTTTCGTGCTAGTTGGCCCTCACCAACCAGTCAGCAAGGTGTATCGGTTACCTTGAAGGAACTCATGTCCCTTCTGAGATTCGAGCCAGCGTCACCCAATGAGTTATGCTGTCAGAGACGTTACCATTGAGCCAGTTATTCGGACTTGCGATTGACCTCCTATGGGGTTGTATTGGATGCTTAGACTGAAGGCCACCTAGACTTCTGGCCATAGTGCAAACTTGACTGACAGAATTCGGTCTTCGACAACACCGAGGACTAGACACACTACGCTAGTCACTGGTAAGTCTCCAATCTAAGTTTTTTATTTTATTATTGTGAACCATGCTGATTGGAAAGCCTTCATAACGGAACTACGAAATGATGCAATGCCACAATAATATTAGTCTTCTTAATACCTTGTTCAAATGTATCAAAAGGGACTAACTATTTTAATTATTATGTAACCATCACCTGTTCGTATGGAATCTTCAGGACGATAATTGATTCCGAAGCTCGGACAATTGTCTGCTAACCACGCGGGCAGTAAAGACCTGAAATGCTCTGGGTACCATCGTTCGTGTCTGCGGGCGATGATGGCTGAGTTGGTGCAGAGCGGAGAAGGGTGCATAGTGAGATCCGGTTGGCCTAACTGGACGATAACCCAGGTCGGGCACTGTCCCCACTTAGGCGGTTGACGTGGATAACCTGGGACTTTGGGGCCTTCTCCATTATTAGGAGTGGCGGGACCTGGCTGCTACACCGTTTTCACGCAAGCGCTAATTAGAATCCGACCCAGACCACCGGGTTGGTGACCTGCAAAGCAGCAAAGATCGTGAAACTGAAGTAACCATCGCCTGTGAAATAATTAACTAAATATTGTTAACATTGTAATACTTTACAGGTACAGCAAATATACTTATCAATAGGAATCTATTGAATTCTCCAAAGCAGTCATTCCCTACTACTACAGATAATATGAAGCTAAACAGTGAACTGAATGGAGTGAATCATTCAGGTATGAATAATGCTCCCAGCATCAACACCACTATCACCAATGGCAACAACAACAACCTTATCAGTGGTTTAAACGCTTCTTCAAGACCAAATTCAGTGAATCATGAAACCGAGGTATTCATTTCCACTTATCTTCCTATACAAATATGCTATTGGACACAGCAAAGAGTATTAGATTGGTTACAAAGTATTGAATTGCCAGAATATGCACCAAAATTATTCGGTAGCGGTGTACATGGAGCTTTAATGGTATGTTTTGGTACTTCACATCCACTTGTTTATTCATTTTGGTCTTTTCTTTTTTCTGTATTCCTTTACGTTCCCGGTGGAACATAGGGCGGCTTCAAGCTAAAGGCTTGAAGTTTCGCTAGCAGTGGTATTTATTTTTAAGGGATGGGGTTGCTGCTGCCTCCATGTCTAACCTTCCTTCTTTACCCGCATTACTACCGATCAAACGAGGTAAAGGAATGCCTCGTTGGTGGGGGATCAAACCCCAGACCACATATGGCGTGATCGGCGAGCAATATACCGCTGCGCCACCGATGCAGATAGTTCTAGTAATGCTATAAAATCGTTACTGCATTTCAACTAGTGTATAAATGAAATTGACAGTTTGTAAATTAATTGACCATTTGCAATGTGAACAGTTCGAAGGGTGAATATTTGCAATTATCGAGATACTACTCACTGATCAAGGTGAGTAGTTGTGCGATACTAATATTAAAAAGTAGTCCGTGTCAAGCATCCAAATAGAGTTGATCTAAACTGTGAACGGCCATTTCACTCTTTTGGTGCCTAGCTCATCAGCAGTGTATCCAGTTGTACTTAGCTCAACAACTACTCATTTTAATCAAACAGTAGTATATAGTTTTATGCAAAAAATAACTGCAATGAAACTGAGACCACAGTATGTGATCTGCTTGACACAATAAATGGTAATCAAGAAAGCAAGCGTAGATGCATAAAAATATATACTACTGGCTGATTGAAATAAGTAGTAGTATACCACTCACCTGTATTACCAGTAGTGCTTGTCAACAAGTCAGATTATCGAAGTAATGTAAACACTGGATAGCTGTTTCGCTGGTTTGGGGTAGATCTTATCAGTGGTAAACTCAGTATGACCTAAGTAGCTTAAGCAGCCAGGCAGAAACCAGACAGTTCCAACTGATATAGCTCTCCGTCTTGACACCGGCCAAAAACTAGCGAAACGACCATCTGGTGTTTAGATCGCCTCGACCTAGATGGTTGGCAAGTACTACTGCTTGATGTGAGTGGAATGGAACATTTGGTGATGTTTTGTACTAGCTGAGGTTACTAACCACCCGCTGCCTACCCTCCACTCTTACTGTTAGCAAGTAAGTTAGGTGAAGTTCACCGGTGGGTTGACCAGATGTTGAACTTGAACCACGCGAGTTGCCGACAAACAGCATTCCACCGCTAAACCAACGAGTCCAGTGGTAAGGTATGTGATGAGTTCAGATCTCAGGTAAAGAAATTGTTTCCTCCAAGGCTGTAGATACACCTTGCCAAGACTTTTTGCCAATCGCCTCTAATTATGTAAACAAGGATGAACGATGGTCATCGTATGATTTCCCTTTTAAGCTAATAGAAAGTATAACCAGTAGCATATCTTGTCAAGGAACTTAACCCGAAGTTCCTATGATTCGCAAAGACACTCAGAATCGACAAATACTGGGTATGATTATCGACTTGAACTCCAAAACACGAGGACTTGTTATAATAAAATATATTCTTCAGCAGTTTGATTCGATATATCATACAGAGTCTGTAAACAAAAGTTTTACAAATAATTCCATTATGGATAAGATTTTATTTTGATAAATCACACACAGTGTTGTACAGTTATATTAACTGATGACGTTTCGAGCACAAACTATTGCCACTCATAATCATATCAAGTTACTCACACAACTTTGTTCTTTCATTTATATACATGTGTGGAATCGATTAGATATTGGATTAAAATCAATGTCAGATAATGTACATTCAGAAATAATAGTACGAGTGTTGTTGATCAATTGCAGTTAGATGGGAGAAAAGAACGAGTGTGTTTTACAGTCATAATAAGCTACTTGTTAGAATGTTGTGTTTGAATGTGTTTGAATTCAAATAGAATTTTAAGATTATTTATTATCTTCTTCTGATTTGACTGATGGCAATAATACGAGTGTTATTGATCTACTATAATCAGATGGGAAATACGACGAGTGTTTTAATAGTCATAATAAGTTTTTATGTTAGAATGTTGTAATGTGTTTGAATTGAAATAGGATTTTAAGATGATTTATTATCCTCTTCTGATTTGACCGGTGGTAATAATATCTTCCATATCTCTGGTATTTTCATTGAGTCATTTCTGTTGCATGTGTTGGGTGTAGACTCGATAAATAAGGAGATATGTGGATGACACTTTCACGGTGTTAAAAACAGAACATATCTCTAGCTTCCTGACACATATAAACTCACAAGTAGAGGGAATGATATTCACATTGGAATCAGAAAATGAACAAGGAGAATTAGCTATGTTAGATTGTAAAATAAAAAGAATAGAAGAAGGGAAACTACACACTAGTGTTTATAGAAAACCAACGAATTCTGCTAATAGATATTTCGACTTTAATTCGTCTCATCCTTTAACTGTTAAGGCAGGCTTAGTTAAATGTTTAACAAACCGAGCAGTGGCACTAAGTAGCACAAAAAAAGACCTAAATGCTGAAATGAAACAGACAGAAGAAGCGTTGGCGTTGAATAACTATCCTATAAAATTCATTAGGAAGATCAGTAAAGGCCAAAATACAAAATAAAAATAATTGTGAAACTAGTAATAATAACATAAATAAGAAAGAATATAAGTCATCCACAGTTATACCATATAAAGAGGGGACATCTGAGATACTACGTAGGATTCTGAATAAAATAGGAATTAGGGTGGCATTTAAACCTACAAACTCACTCAGGGACAAGCTCTGTAGGTTAAAGGACCCAGTTGACCCAATTAGACAAAATAATATTATTTACAAAATACCATGCAATGACTGTGAGTGAGGTCAACTACATAGGTCAAACTAGTAGGTCAGGGGTAGTCAGATTGTCAGAGCATAAGAATTTAGCTAAGGTAAGAATGGTTGACCCCGAGAAGATAAGTAATTTAGTAAAAAGCCCAGCTATTGCACTTCACTCAATAACAAACAACCACAAAATAGCATGGTGGGATAGGGTTAAAATTCTAAGAAGTAATCTATGTAGGCGGAGAGAAAGAGATTGATTACTGAATCCTTATTTATCGAGTCTACACCCAACACATGCAACAGAAATGACTCAATGAAAATACCAGAGATATGGAAGATATTATTACCACCGGTCAAATCAGAAGAGGATAATAAATCATCTTAAAATCCTATTTCAATTCAAACACATTACAACATTCTAACATAAAAACTTATTATGACTATTAAAACACTCGTCGTATTTCCCATCTGATTATAGTAGATCAATAACACTCGTATTATTGCCATCAGTCAAATCAGAAGAAGATATTAAATAATCTTAAAATTCTATTTGAATTCAAACACATTCAAACACAACATTCTAACAAGTAGCTTATTATGACTGTAAAACACACTCGTTCTTTTCTCCCATCTAACTGCAATTGATCAACAACACTCGTACTATTATTTCTGAATGTACATTATCTGACATTGATTTTAATCCAATATCTAATCGATTCCACACATGTATATAAATGAAAGAACAAAGTTGTGTGAGTAACTTGATATGATTATGAGTGGCAATAGTTTGTGCTCGAAACGTCATCAGTTAATATAACTGTACAACACTGTGTGTGATTTATCAAAATAAAATCTTATCCATAATGGAGTTATACTCTACCACAGTGCCCAAGTTTTATACTTATATCAATTTTACAAATAATGTATAGTACTTTTATTCGTATTCTTTCGTCTTCTTTCAACTTGTATACGATTGAAACATTCGCACCTTCGAGTTGCCTGCCAATGACGACCAAGGCGAATGAACCAACATTCAATGTTCAAGTTCATTTACATATCTTCTTTTATCAATTCACTGTCACCTGTTTTCCTATTCTTTGTATCCTTTCACTTAGATTTTTGAAGATCGTTTTACACCAGATCTTTTAGCTGATATTTTACAAATTTCGCCTGTAAAATCCCTTGTACGACGACATTTAACACATAAATTTATTGAACTTGTCGGTCCAGAAATATGGAAACGTAAACAAGAAAATGAAGTCAATAATTCGCTGACATTAAATTCAAAAATCAAGGTAAATTAAATCACCACCATTGGGATTATTATTATTATGATTGTTATTATTAATTTTTTATTTCTTCACGTTGTAATTGGAACATAGGTCTTCAAGCCAGGATTGGGAAGTTTCGATAGCAATAGTATTTAGATTTTACGAATTGAGATCGTCGGCTTCACGTCTAAACTCCTCTTTTTACTGGGCTTACTACTGGCTAGGTGAGATTTAGGAGTACTGGACAACTGTTTCGTTCTCGTTTGGGACTCTTCATCAGTACGCACCCACTGGGCTTCGAACTCAGGACCTTCTGGTTATAAGGCGAGCTCGTTTACCATTAAGCCACTGGGACCCGATCCAATGGCCAGTCCATGAATTCTAACTTCTGCCAATTCACGATATAGCGTGATTGCTAGCCAATGTCTTCGACGCATACTGCTGAAGAGTCCAAAACTAGTACGAAACAGCTGTCCAGTACTCCCAGGTTTTTTGTTGGTTCTCTAACTGATATCAGCTCGTGATGAAATCGTCCATCTAATCAAATTAAATCCCTAAAAAACCAATACTTGAAAACTTAATAGTGTTTTGGGCTGGATATCGAAATCATTACCATGTCTATCTTTTATTGGGATTATGTACAACTGGAACAAAGTTGCAATATGTCGTACTCTGGTGGTCCAATGGTATGATGCTCACCAACCAAGCACATTGTCCAAGTCTGATTCCCATACGAATGTTTTAACTTGGGGCAAACAATCCGACTGCATAGAATCAAAACAATACCACAGCTACGGAAACTTTAAAACCCCTGAAAGAGTATATCTTGCTAGGAAATTAAGGAATTAAAACACTAAGTACTGGACAGTCGTTTCACTGTAAGTTTGGACTCACCAATCATTTCTCTACAAACTAACACATGAAAAATTTAATATAGCAAAAATACTCATTCAGACATCTATAAAACACAAAATAATCGAGCAAAGAATATTCTTTTCGATAAATTCCTCTTCTGGCTCTACAGTTATATATGCATGTTTATATACACAGAATATTCTAGATTAGTAGTCAATAACAATATTAGTGTTTTTTAAATAATATCGATTACATGGAGGATTTAATCATGAGCTGACATCAGTTAGAGAACCACTGGAAAACCTGGGAGTACTAGACAGCTGTTTCGTCCTAGTTTGAGACTCTTCATCAGTACGCACCCACCGGGATTCGAACCCGGGACCTTCTGGTTACAAGGCGAGCTCGTTTACCGTTAAGCCACTGGGACCCGATCCAATGGTCCTTGAATTCTAACTTCTGCCAATTCACGACATAGCATAGCGCGACCACTTCGCAATGTCTTCTTCGATGAGTTACTGCCTCATCTTCAACCTGCTGTACCCTACTGGTCACGGCTTCCCACTAGAACCCCAGGTTAACTGCCTGAATAGGGCCAGTCACTAGTGAGCATCAGATTAATTTGCAAGTTTTGGTTTTGTAGGGATTTTGTTTGATTGCATGGAGGATTTAATCATGAGCTGACATCAGTTAGAGAACCACTGGAAAACCTGGGAATTGGCAGAAGTTAGAATTCAAGGACCATAGGATCAGGTCCCAGTGGCTCAATGGTCTACGAGCTCGCCTTGTAACCAGAAGATCCTGGGTTCGAATCCCGGTGGGTGCGTACTGATGAAGAGTCCCAAACTAGGACGAAACAGCTGTCCATTACTGCCAGCTTGTTTTCCAGTGGTTCTCTAACTGATGTCAGCTCATGATTAAATCCTCCATGCAATCAAACAAAATCCCTACAAAACCAATACTTGAAAATAATATCGATTTGTTAAGTATGATCACAATGGAATTACCACAGTTCATTAAAGATGCTTAAATTATAATGATAATAATAAAAATATAATAGCGAATAAAATATCAACTAAAATTAGGAATATTCCACAAAAATTGAAGATCATTCAAACCTAGATGGTCAAGGTAAGGACAGTTTCCGAATCAAACAACTTCTTTTGGATACATAAGTTAAGTTTCTTAATGTAGATCTCAACAGCCAACTTCAGCAATACACAGTAGTAGACGAACTCTTAAGGCGAAGTTAAGATTATTTGGTATAAGGTGGATGACTTTGACATCAATTTTGTGTTCTGTATCCACAAGATGAGATAGAATAGCACCACGAATAGATTTTGTTTGTCCTTTACTTAACCACTGGGCAGGGTAATGCTCGGAAATTCGACGATAAACACGCCTGACTGTACGGCCCATGCAACTAACTGGCTCCAGAGGAGCAGTTAAATTGATAAAAAACACATGGAAGAGGCAAAATTAGGCAGTTCATCTTTTACTGTTGAAAGCAAAATAGGGGTGGTTTTGAAGACACAGTGTAATTCAGCAACAGGGAATGCTGTTTTCACCGCATTTCCAAGGCGCTGTGTTAGTATCTCGGTGATGTTGTCCCCGAGGAACTGAGTTTGTAAGAATAAAGTGTTTGTAAGATCCACATTAAGAAGCCTAATTTATGTGTCCAAAATAGACAGTTCAGACATTATCCTTACCCCACTGGCCATCTAGGTTTCGATGATCCTAAATTTTTGTGGAAATTTCCCTAATTTTAGTTGATATTCTTTTTGTTATTATACTTTTATTAATATTATTATAATTTAAGCACTTTTAATGAACTGTAATTACGTTTTGATCTTATTTAAGGAATTGATATTATTTAAAAAACAGGCCGATATTGATGTTGACTACTAATTTAGAATATCCTAAACATGCATATATAATTGTAGAGCGAGAACAGGAGGAAATGATCGAAAAGGGGGGATATTCTTTGCTCAATTATTTTGTGTTTTAGACATGAAAGTTAATCTGACACTTACTAGTGCCTAGATTTATAAAGGAAGTTAACTGGAGTTTTCAGTGTGAATTTGTGACGACCGGGTTCACCATGTCGCCTATAAGCATAGTTACTCACCGGTGAGAATGACTGTGTTGGCCATGTCAAGAACTGTTAGATGTTGGAGTCCATGTGGCATTGATTAAGTCCCAGCGGTTGAATGATCTAAAAGCTTGCATTATGACCCAAAGATCCCTTGTTAGAACCCCGGAGGCAGGATACTGCGTGACAGCCCCAAACTAGGACAAAACACTTGTTCAGTACTCCATCCCAGGATTTCCAACGGTTCCCTAACGGATATCAGTATGTGATCAGACCTTTTATCAATCAAATTGCTGCGAACCAACGCTTGAAAATTAAAAAGGGCTTCTACTACTGATGTCAATGAATCAATTATTACTGCTGATTTGGAAGTGTATAACAGATGTGATAGAAATTTTGAATGTATGGGTAGATATAATGTACAATCGCCGTCTGCTCTACCACTTGTAAGTCTTAGGTGACAAATAAATACCTAACTAGGTGACAACATTATTTTTCATGTATTTGAAATCTTTTTTATGATATATTCGATTAACGTGACTAGCCTGATTTTGGAATTTATAACCTTCTAGAACTTATACCTTGACATTACTAAGACTAAGAACTCTAACCAACTTTTATATACACCTAGTTTTACCTAATTTTGTCTAATACCTTAAAATAACAATTGACAAAGTTAAACTTTAAGCACCACTAACTACCAATCAACGAATGATCTTCAATGAACTAATCACATGAAAGAGAGACTTTTGATTAAGGAAAACGTATATTTATGAGAAAAAAAATCATAAAAACTGCATAAAACTGTTAAATAGGATATCTTTCTCTGACGTGTATGTTAAAATCATCTCCTAGTTTAGCATAGGAGTATCAAGTGAAAGGTTACACGACATTCTCTACGTATATTCATCCAAATGACCATAAATGACATCCTTTTGAGACCTATTTAAAGCCCCAACCCTGTGTTTTAATCCTCCCCAAAATCCTTTTGTAGAATTCGTGTGTCTTCCTGTAATTGGATGCACAAAATCACTAAAATGGTTCACTCTGTGATGAATATATCCAAGGGATGACAACCTTTTTGTTCATAAGTAGGTACTATAGATCCCTATTTTACCAGTCGAGTGACAATAGGTACTAAGGTAGTAGAATTTCTATCTGCTATTCTCTCCGCTAATTCTTTCTGCAGGTAGGTGTCATATAAAGTGATCACCCAAACATTGTTGCCTCGCTGACGACCACCGTTGTATTTTGTCTTCAATAAGACAGTTTCGTCCACGTGTAGGATGTCACCTCCGCCTTGTAATAATGAAGTAATTCTCTCCATGACGCGATAACCTAGCAGTGCTGGTATCACTGAACTGTTGACGTGAGGCTATTTTTAGTTTCAGCGGCTGCACCTCTCGCAGGCTGTTTTAAAACTCAATAATTACAAACATTCCGAAATATGGGTTAGGGTGAGATGCAACCAAGCAAAAGATGTTCCTACGAAATATTAAAATCATCAGCTTACCTTCCCTAATACTAACTCATTTCAAGCTAATTGCACAACGATGGACACATCCATCAATCTATCTACTAAAGATTTTTAAACCGATAACACCTCCACATGAAAAAAATCCTCTCCTTCCTAAGCAACCCCAAATCCAGACAATATTACAAAACCTTATCCTCATCAAACTGCAAGCGTAACTTCGTTAGAGCAGGCATTTGATACGAATCAAGTGCAATACTACCTTGAAGTCCAGTGCTTGAACCTCATCAGGCCATTCGCTAATTGGTAGTTAGTGATGCTTAAAGTTTAACTTAGCCTAACTTATTAAGGAGTAGTCGAGCACTGGAGTGAGACCTTCGTTTTTCCCTGTGTTATGATTGCTGTATTCCTATTGGCTGTTTAGTATTTTCAATGTATCCCTGAATTACTACACCGTCAAGGTCATTCATTGTAACTGTATATATTCAGAGTTTCTTTCTAGCATTTTGACTGTTGTTTGAGAAAATCAAGTCTCTCTTATTGGCGTCCAGTCTTTCCTCTCGTCTTTGCATTGCCGGTAGTGTTATTGTCATTGTTGTTGACGTG